GAATTAACTTAGTGAAAAAAAAAAAAAAAAAAAAAAAAAAAAAATCCGGAACTCGCATTTGCTAAAACAAGGAAAGCAACGGCACCGGAGCCGCGGATTCTCCCCCCTTAATCCGTTTTTTCCCTTACATACATTAAGACTGTTTAAAAAAAAAAAAAAAAAAAAATCCGGAACTCGCATTTGCTAAAACAAGGAAAGCAACGGCACCGGAGCCGCGGATTCTCCCCCCCCTTAATCCGTTTTTTCCCTTACATGCATTAAGATTGTTAAAAAAAAAAAAAAAAAGAAACCAGAAATTAGAACAAACACTGAGAGCTTGTTCTTCTTCTTCTTCCTTCTCCTGCTTCCTCCTTTTTCTGCACTTCTCTGGCTTTTGCTTTTGTTTTCCGTTTGCTGTCGCTTTTTTAAGGTTTATTGAAAAAAATTCAAATTCTTTGTCGAGTAGGTGAAGAAACGGTTTGGATCAGATCCTAATTCTTTAAAAATAAAAAAAAAAGATTTCTACATATTATTTTGTGGAAATCTGGAAAACTGAAAATTGAAGGAGTTGGCGCAATGTAATTCAGACACTTGGGGGGAAGCTGTGTGTGGGAGAGAGATATATCATCATGTTAGTTTATATTATGTCATATTTTTGGAAAAAGATACCGTTAATTGGCACTATTTGATTTTTTAAAATTTTATATGGAGTTTCTTTTATGCCCTTCGTGATCCTCTGTTATTGCTTTTAAGGGCATGTTTTTGTTGTTGGCGAAAGGTACAGATACATTATCAAAAGCAAGAGTACAACTTTTTTTTTTGTTTTTTTTTTTGGGTTGTTGCTTTAAGGGCATGTTTCATGCCCAAATCCGTTCCTTAAATAAAAAGTTAGGGATAAATTTATTTTCTTAAAAAAAATAAAGATAAATTATTTTTAAAATTATTAATTAAAATAAATTATTTATTATTTAATATGTAATTCTTTATATGTCATAAATTTATTCGCTGCTTAAGTATTTTTTAACTAACGTTGACGTGTAATAACATTAAATATTAAATAATTAGTAATTTATTTTTATCAATAATTTATAAAAATAATTTATCTCTATATTTTTTTTAAGTAGTGAATCTATTCTTCTCCTCTTATTTAAGAAATGAATTTGAGAGTTTTGCCTTTGATACCCAATGCTTAAACTTTGGATGCACTTTTAAGATTTTAATAAAAAGCAATTAATATTAAGATATGCGTAAATTAGTAATAAAATTTTTTAAAATTTGTAAAGCTGAAAACAACTAATAAAATTTTATAAAAATGTTTTTGAAGTTGATTTATGAAAAAATTAATATTTAAATTTTTTCATATATATTTTCATACTTTTTTTCTATAATTGAAAATTTGCATTCTCAATAAACTTTTATTTAAGTTTAGTATGCTATCCAACTACTACTATCATTATGTATCCTTTTCTTTAATTTTATATCAATACCTAATATCGATACCTAAAGGCTTGTAGGTTTGAAATTAACACACCAAGTCAAATTCCTAACTACCATATCACTTCCCTTTTCTCATAAGCATGAATGGAGGCAAATGGACAAATCAAGAAAAAAGTTGGATGATTTGATTACTTAAATAAGCATGATTAGGTGAATTCTCCATTCTTCTAACCCTAAGTAAAAGAAAATTATTATTTTATATCAATAATCCAAGTAAATACATCAATTTTTTTAATGAAAAGAAATTAATACATGTTAAATAAATAAAAATTACGAAAAATGATCCATGAAATTTGAATACACAACCCATAATAATTGATCCACACAAACCCAATACTAAAACTATTAGGTCGAAGCATAAGGATCATCCCCGTAAGTACATCATTTAGGCAAAAAATTTGCATCTATTAATTCCCAATACAAAACAAATAGCAAAACTTAAAGCCAAGAAGGCAAAAAGCTCCTCCTTTTGGGATTTTTTTCTCATTTTCAAAAGCAAGCGTAATAATTATTTAATAAAAATAAAATGACATATCCTTAAATGGTTGATAAAAAAATATCTCTTATTCTTTAAAAACTCTTTATTATTTTTTTTTTAAAATTTAATTTGATGGTCTTAACTTATAACTGCAATTATAAATTTGTTCTTTTAACATCTTAAAAAAATAAAATGTATTTAAAATATTTAATATTTATTTTAATTAATATTTTATATATTTTTAAAATAATAAAAAGATATAAAATCAAAATTAAAAGTTAAAAAAATAAAAAAAAAGTTCTTGAATGAAGTCTGAGACTCCAACTAATTTGCCAGGACAAAGGGCATGAAGGTAATTTACCATTTCTAACTAACGCTGGAGGACGTGGACTAATAATAACGGTACCCGCTAATATTGGCCGAAGTGAAAGTCGTGAAAGCAAAAGGAGAAAACAAGTCAACAGACCAAAAAGCAGGTCCCAGTTGCAAAATTAAAAAAATAAATAAATAAATAAAAAGCCAAGTCACCTAACGCACCCCCCGTGAAAATTGGAAATTAATGCCTGTTTTTTTCCTCACCAATTAAGGGCAAAAGGGCCTTTTCGATGGCCCCCATTAGGCTCCATCTCTTTGAAGCCATTCTGATTATTATAGCGTTGGACCAATAATCTGACTAATTTAGGGGGTCAAATGTAATTTTGAAAAAGTGTTTTATATTTGAAATTGATTTAAATTGTAAAATATTAATTATTTGATTAGAGTAAAGAAGTGAACTTTCAAATTCTATGATTCATCCCTAAACTTTGAGTATTTGGTTTAGTTGGTCGAAATTCAACTCTCACAACCACCTTGAAAAAATACCCTCATCTCCCAAATTTCTAATGTTCAAAAAAAAAAAATGATGAGAGTAGGGTTTTTTGATATTGAGACCCTCCTCTCATTAGATAATTTTTATTTTACAATTTGAATTAATCTAAACAGTAAAAGAGAATTCTCATATAGTTTAATCTTATATAAAGTTTTTATTGATAAATATTTTTATTTGATAAAAAAATTAATTATTATTTATATAATATATTAAATTTTCATTTGAAATTTGTGTTAAAAAATAAAAAATAATAATCTAAAATTATTAAAAATAAACGGAGATAAGAATAACTATTGACAATTAATTAAATTAATTCAACTAAACTTGAATCTAGGTGGAGTTAGTTGTCCGGAAAGGACCCTTTTTAACTTGTATAATTGATGTCAATGATTCTTTACTTCGAATATAATCTTAGGTTAATAAAAATTATTATGATACCATGCTTTGACCATTGATTTTTAATTTATGGGGATGACATCCCGTTAAGAAACAAATTAATTAGAAAAATAATTTATTGAATCAATTACTTTGAAAGTTTCAAGTACAAAATAGTCTGCTTGCTATAACTAGGACTATTGGGAATTTTGGAATAATAACAAATGTTAAAAAATTTAGACATTTCAAGAAAATGTTTTCCTAGTTGAATTCATGTCATGCATTATGACCTATTTGAATCTATGTCATGCATTATGACAATTAGTGTATCCTTATTCTCAGGTGCATTATTTTTTTAAATACAAATTTCAATGCATATAATAATTAGTTTGCCATTATTCTTAGGTACAGTATTTTTAATTTTAAGTATAAATTAATGAATACGTTGTTTTACTATTTAAATGGTGATGAATTGTAAAATAAAAATTATTAAAAAAATAATTTTAATCTTACAAACGTATTTTTGATTTAAGGATTTTAAGTTTTTTTTTTTTTTTGAAAAGTTTATAATTTTGAGGAATTGTGCGAGGAGAATTTTTCAAGACGTTAGTGAAACTCAAAACTCCGATAAAATAATGCAAGCGTCTTAAAATTATGAGGTGAACCACTTGAACCTAAAGATCTGATTCAAATTGTATAATCTAATTTAGTGTAAATTACATAAATTTTTTTTATAAATTAATATTTATAGTAGTAATAAAAACTACTTACACAAAGTAAGACTCGAAGTTGAAATCTAAAGATACTGGGGGCATACACCAAATACTAATCCCCAGAGTACATTATCTTAAACTTTACAGATAGTGTTTTATTTAACCGCCTCAAATGATCACTGCATGTTCATTCATAAATATAAAAATTTTAGTAACACCCATGTTACTTCTCGAGCATGGCAATCATCTCTGTCTGCTATAAGTTCCCCACTTTAACTCAAGAAAAATATTTGGTAGATGATTTAGGTGAACTTTTTTATAAAAAGAAAATCAGCTTAACTTGATTTCAATCAAATTGATCTTATCCAAGGCTAGGGGGGTCCGACTTTAGGTAGGGAATTTTGAGAGGATGTTAACAACACCTGCAATTAGGGAGATGAATAATGCAAAAAAAGCCACTGGGCACCATTCCCTTTTTTCAGTCATGTGCTTGGACACCTTTTAATCATGCAACACAATGGACAGAGTGATGAAATTCTGACATCTTGCAACAACATGTCTCAAAAGCAATCAAACTGATAGATATATACTTACTGCAAAAGCAGCTGTCTCTGGACTGGCATTGCTCTTCTCTTCCCATTCACATTTCTTTATTTGAGTAGTTCCCAAGCAAAAGGGGTGTGCCTAATATTCTCTTTTTCTGCTTTTCTTATGATGCAGTAGGAGAGGCTACAAGCTAAGGAAATTACAAGTAATGGCTAAGGAAAGGTTAAATGCATGTTTGATGTTTGTTCCCATGTCACTTGTAATGGTTAAATTGATTGTGCATGGACTGACCATTTGGTGACAAAACAAACTTGCAATAGTGGAGTTCTTACTTGAAACACACAATCCATATATGAAATTTGATTTGGACACAACTATATTCACAGCAAAATTGTAAGAAAATCTACTTTCTTTTTTTTATTGACCATCTATAAGGAAGTAATTTACTCTTATTATGAATCTTCTAATTCTACTGTAAACTATTTAATTCGACTATTTTTACAGAGAAAGATATAATTAATGAATCTCCATGAAGACCATTTTCAAGGTTTTTTTTTTTTTTTTTTTTGCCCTTTTGGTATATGAATTAATAACCTTTTATGGACCCCAACTGACTTACCACCTAAAATTTATCATCAACACCAAACAGGTGATCGGGGCCATTTAAGGATCTATCTGTTTAATTTCCAAAAAGAAAACTCCATGATAGCTGTTTGTGGTTCATTAATAATGGTGGAAGAATCTAGTTTCCCTTTTATTTATGGACAAAAAATGATTTCATACAGTCTAAATGTGGGTGGTTAGCCCATTCCATCTTCGATTGCATGCAAATATGAAAAGGAGAATGCTTTCATGACGCAACAGAACAGAACACTGTTTTTGACAAAAAATGACTGGGTTCTATTCCTCTTCCATACCTTTAGCTCCACCTGCTCCTCTGCTCCTGGGCCCGATTTACACCCACTTTGAGAGCTTAGCTGTCTTTGAGTCTCTTAACTTTTAAGCTTGGATTCAATTCAGTAGACGGCCCACTGTTGGGAACTGGATGGTTCTTCCAAACATTTGAGACAAAACTACTAACCACATGGATAATTTAATTTAAATATATTTTTTTTCATGAATACAAAGATTGAAGGCAAGATATTTTAGGTTTTTTTTTTTCATTTTTCTTTTTTTCAATTATGGGTATCCAACAGGGGTAATTTTCTCATTTCCCATTTATCACCCCATTCGAGTATCACTATTACTCGAATATTAATGACCATAGATTTCTGAGAATCTCAACTAATTAGGTGAGTAAAAATCTATGAATGCAACCAAGGACCGAGAGAGATTAATTTTCTTTAAATAAAATTTTAAATTTGAATCTTGTGTATAAATAAATAAGAACTGAGAGAGATTAATTCCATTTAAATAAAATTTCAAATTCAAATCTTGTGTATAAAAAAATAAAAAACTAAGAAAAATTCTTCCTTACAGAGTCCAACACGGTTTGATTTTAAATTAGTCAACACCTGATATGACTTTCAAAGACTAAGAGTTTAGTACAAAAAAAAAAAAAAGTTTATGAATACCAGGGTTTGCTCAATAGGTAATGTTTGAATATTTCAAATACTAAATTTCCTGTTTCAGTCTTGCTATCAACAGTGTGATCTATAAGGATGATTGTAAGTCTCATTTAGGTTGTTAGCATGTCTTGACTTTGAATAAGATCCTTTCAACCTCTACTTTAATTTACAAAGAAAATAAGGTCAAGAGCGAAGTAAAGAAAAACAAAGAAAAGGAAAGTAGCTTCAAGATCATAAACATGGACCGAGAAGCCCAAAAGAATTTAGAATCCATAAATTCATAGAAGATGGGCTGGATTATTATCAGTTAAACAACCGCCCTGGCCCCTAGTCCATTCTAAGAAAGGCAGGCTGAAAGCCTGATTAAACTACGGCTTTAGTTATTCTTTTCCACTTATGTTACTCTTCCTCCGAGCTCAGGCCATGGCGAAGAACAGGAACAAGAAGAAGCAGAATGGCGCCATCTCCATGAACATCTCCGAAAACGCTGTTTCAGATCTCCCTCAACGTACGTGTCACGTTAGTTAACTTCCCCGTGTTAGTTCATCTGTAGCTGTCCGTTTGGTTTTCTAACTGAGCTTTGATATGTAATTCTTCTTCTCATGCAGCAATGGATACTTCAGAATCTGGAGCTCCCAAGTCAGCTTTTGGTGCAATCGGTAGGCAAGCGTTCAATTTATTATAAAATAATTTTATTTTTTAATTTAAATTATGATGAAATGATAACATGTGAGACTGATTTATTCCATTGCTTAGCTGATTAAATCTCATATTATTATCTTCTGAATTCTAGTGGAGGATTGGTACGTTTAGGTTGGTATAGATGAACTCCTTGTGTTCTCTCTTTCATTATAAATGCAAGAATGATAATAGGGAAGGATTTATGTATTATAGTGTGAAAATTGAGCATGTGTGTTTCAATATAAGGCTTGCATAAAATCTAAAACCAATTGACAATAGATGGTGTGACCCTCTTTGTATTTAACCCACATATATGGATTTTCCCACTCAACACATAGAACTTGTTGATTCAGTACTTGGGTTTACATCATATATGTAAGGATACTGCCATAGTTGCAGAATGCTTATGGAAATATTAAATTTTTGTTATAGCATGGTACATTGGTGGTTGTGGAATAAGCGTACTGCCATAGTCACGGAATGCATATGGAATTATTGGACATAGCATACTGTCATGGTGTTTGTCTGTTCTGGGCTGATGTTGTGTCCTTGGTAAGAGAGGTTTAGTTTAAGTTGGTTGCGTTAACAGGCCTTTGCAATTGCTTCTGAATGTACCATTTTCTGTGCATGATTGTTCCAAAGAAGCTGATTGCAAGTCTCAGGTCCATTTTTACTTTATGGTTCATTGCATGTGTCTGTAAAGCAATGAGTGTCCTGACTGTCAAAGTACTCAGGTCTTAAATATATTGGTTCTGTACTAGTACTACTGCCTTGGTGGTGGTTTTCTTTTTCCTCTTTTCCTTCTATTGTTTGGATGGTAAATCATAACCCAAAGCGTTTTCTTCATCTTTGGCTTAGTGTCGACCTTTCAATCTTTGAACAGATCTTTGAGCCATTTATAAAACTTTAACATCTACATTCTAATTTAAGATAACTTGAAAAGGCTTATAGTGGGATTCTTGATCCAAAACATCACATTCAATTAACTTGTTGGATTAGGTTGTTGCATATACCCTTATTATGTTGTCATCTTCATTCTATGTGACTTCTTCAGTGACTCATCTCTATGTTATCTTTTGCCTCCAAATTTATGTATCTCTCTTTAAACAGAAAGATGAAAGGAAGACCAATGAAGAGATCCAAACATGTTCGGAAGATGAAAGCACTTGCGAAAGCTATTGCACAAAATGAGAAAGTTGTTGAGAAAGTCTTGAAGAATGAAAGCAAATCAGTGAGAACTGAATCAGCCAAACTGTTGTATGACTGAATATGATGAAAAAGGGTTATGGTTATAAGACCCTTTACTGCATTGTTTACTGTATTGTGAATCTAGCTAATTTCATTCACTTTGCTTATTTTCCTTTAAAAATTAATTGGCTCCATAAAGAATCTTAGATAAAAAGAATTTTCATCATTCAGATAACTCTTGGCCGTTGATCATGTGGGGGTTCCACATTATCACTTGCAGGTCCTACATTTTCAATTATAAAAAATCTTGGAGAGACATTTCAATGACTAAGAGTTTAAATTTTAATATTAAAAATTTCAAATTCGAATTTTGTGATAAATGAAGAGAGTTTTAGGAGGAAGAGGGTTATTACTTATTTTATAACCTATCATTTGATATACCTAAAAAAGATTTAACGATCAAGAAAATTTTAATTCTCACGTCTATTTTTTGGATTGCCAATCAATTTCCAAACCAAAATGGTTAGCACACCAAATTGATTTTTGAAAAAATTCAAATTCATTCCAAAATGGTACTCTCTTGTCTTTTTTTTAAAATTGTCTTAATCCCTCAACTTTATATAAATTAAGTTAATAATTTTTATATAGTTAATGAATGACAATTAAAAACTTTTTTATTTAAATAAAAATACCTAATAAGAATACTTTAAATAAGAAGAAAAAAATTTTAATTATTAATTTAAAATT